CCTGGGAGGGCATTGACATCTGTGCACTCAGTGCCTTTTGTTCGGGGGGCTTCAGGAACCTGGAGAGTTCTGGACTTCATTTCCAATGGTGTAATAGAATCTCTGTGTTAAAACCCACCTGTGCACTAAGTAAGGGCAACACTCACATCACTTTTTGTTTAAAGTGTCCCTTGAGCAGAAAACTTTGAAAAGTAGATTTTCAAAGTAATTTTTATTAGATCAAAGTATTCGAGGACCTGTATATCATGCAGGAGTCAACTTCATTGCACCGACGTGGGAAGAATCCAGAGACTCAGATTCTCCTTTTTCTTTGTCGCTGTCATATCCTTCATGGGCCAGGAGCCAGGTGCTCTGTGTGGATTACCGTACATCACCCTCCCCAGGGCCGTTGGTGAGGGACTACCCTCGCCCTCTTCGCCAGGCTCTGGACTGCGCCAGCCCTGCCACCTCCAGGCCCAGCTGCTTGTCTGCCGCCAGCTGTCTGCGCTGGCCACTCAGGAGGGAAGAGAGGAGCACGTTCTTGGCAGGCCAGGTGCCAGGCCCACATCTGTCAGGAAGCAGCCGGAACGGGGGCACAGGCGCTGTAGGTGCCCAGGACTCTGCGCCTCGCCACCAGGAGCAGCTCGGCGTCTTCTGGCTTCCCTTTCCCTGGTCCTGCGCTCCTTACTCTTCTGCTCGCCCGCCCTCCTCTCCCCCACACTTGCTCTCGCTGCCCTTTTCCTTGCTGCTTACATCTTGGTCTGGTCAAGGGGGTTGGTGGGATTTAGGGCTAAAACGTATGCTGACTCCCCGCTTTCAGAGGGTTCCTAGCATGATGTGGAATGACTTGAATTTTAATCGCTGTTCAGAAAGTTACCAAGTTTTTCAACTCTGACCGTTGAAGCACAGTGAAATGTGAGTGTTTAGAGTGTGGAGTTTGGTTTTGCAATGTGTGTACTCATACACCCAAGAAACATGAAAACCAAATGAACAGAATTGAGAAGCCATGGGAGGAAAAAATTAACAAAACTACATACAATTCAGAAATACAAGCAAAACCGCCATGAACAAAGTCAAAAAGACAAATTGACAAACTGGAGAAAATATTTGCAACTTAATCAGAGATAAGCTAATTTCCCTAATACTCAAAAACATCCAACAAATTAACTAGAAAAAGCCAATGATCCAATTGGAAAAAAACGGGGAAGGATGTGAACAGTTAAGTGGGAAGGATTTTATACGCATGGAAAAACTGCTCAACCTCACTCATAATAGAACATCCATGCTGCCCTGAAGTGACTGCTCCCAGGCTCCTTGTCCTCTGGCTTCCAGTGGGTCCCACTGGGGGGACTCTCCCAGGACTCTAGTGCTCTCTCTGTTCCAGAAGCAACCCCCCCGCCCCGCCCTTTGAGACCATTCTGTAATGACAGCTTCCACTGTGCCTGTAGTTCACTGGCCCTGGCTGCTGTCCCTAACCCTGCCCACAGCTTTGTAAATAGACCCTTTCTTAAGCCCTCCCTTTATTAAAAAACAGACTACCCGTATGGATACCTTTTCACTTATCAGAAGCTTAACCCAGTGGTGGAGACGGGGCAGGGAAGTGCAAACTCATATAGACTGTTGGCAGGAGTGCGGATGGCTGCACCCTCCTAGAAGGCACTCTGGCCGTCTGCGAGAATGAGGGTGTTCATGCTGTTTGATCCAGAAACTCCACATCTAGGAATTTAGCACACAGACCTAGGATGCGGTGAAAAACCTGGTGCTAGTCTCAGTCTTTACTGTTAACAAGCAGTGCCCACGTGTAAGGGCTGGTAAGAGATGGTGCAGCGGAACACCCTGCAGCTGTTTCAGCAAGGGATGGGGTGAGTCAAGATACTCTGTGACATGTGTGCTTTTCAGTCAGGGCACAGGTTAATGCAAGCCATGCTGTTATTTCTGTTAAGCAGGAGGGAAAGGAGAGAGAGGACTGTGTGTGAGACAAACTGGCACAGTGGCTGCCTCCACGACAGGGACTGAGGATGAGCCTCTGGGGGCCAGGATAGGCAGATAGACCTTCTTATAGTTACTTTGTATATTCATCTAGGGAAAGTTCTAGTGTGAAGAGGTGAGAAATAGAAGTTAATTTTTGTTTTGGGGGTGTGGCTGTTTATTGATCAGTCCAATTTGGTTGGGTCTAAAATGAAACAGTTGTATTTTTCTCCCATCTTTGCTCCCAGCTGGGCTTCATCCAGTCTCCCGGGAGCCATGGCCTTACCACCATTTAGCAAAGATGCCACAACTTTTCCCATCATCCGGTTTAAAATTTGGATCTCCTGCCTGAGTCTGGGCTTGTGGCCTGAGCAACCTACAGCTGGGAGAGGGTCTGTTCCGTGTTCCTCTCTGACCTCCAGAGCAGTCCCTTCCTGCTTCCTCCAGGCTTAGGAGAAGACAAGAGGGACAGACACAGTGTTTCTCTGGCAGGAGTAGCTGCTCCACTGGTGGGACAGCCCTCTGGAGCAGGTGGCCTCAGTTTGCTCTCCCCAGGAGTCCAAGTCATCTGTTCCTCCAGCCCAGGGGAACAGGAAGGGCCTCCAGCCTCTGGTTTCCTAAGTACAAGATGGCATGGTGCATTGGGGCTCTGAGTGAGCTCCTGGCCGGCTTCCAGCACTCCCCTCGGCAAGAGAGGGCCCTGGAAGAATAAAGTTCTTCCTAGTCTTGGAGGGAGGCCTCTGTCCCCCCACCCAGGTGCTGTGGGAGGAAGCTCGGGACCAGAGAGGTGGTGGCGTGCCTGCTGGGTGCAGGTGTCATCCCAGGTATATGCAGGGTGCCTGTTGCTTATTGTTAACCTGACGGGAAGTTAAGGAAAGGTTGACAACCACCCCATTAATTATTTAATTATGAGCAATCAGGATAGACAGCTTCTTCTCGAAGACCTGCTTCTGAATGCTCTGTGGCTCCACTCCCCAGTGGTTTCCTGCCATCACCAGTGTGGAGGGGTCTGGGTCCAGGTAGGGAGTGGCCTCTTCCAGGTTTAGAATGACAAAGAACAGTCATTGTGCAGTGTGGTCAGGTCACACAGTACAGGTCACCAGAGCACTTTGATGCTGACAGCGCTCATGCGTGTGTGCTTCTAATTGAAAGCTGGCACAAGTGTTAGTCCCATTTTGCACTTGAGAGAAGTGAGGCTCATCCCGGGGTCCTAGCTCCTTGGCTGTCCACTCTGTCCATGTGTCATCATCCCACCAGACCCCCTTCTCCTAGCCATGGGGAGCTGGCACCCGTTTTCACAAACTCACAAACAAAAGATGCCTCTGCTGTGTGCAGATGTGGCTGGTGGTGTGTGAGGCACACTGAGGTTGGGAGAGAGACGAGGACCAGAGGCCTCTGGCCAAGGAGGGCTGGTTGGGTTCTCTTCTGCTCTGCACACTGGGGGCAGGGTCCCCCCATGGGCGGCTTCCTCCGACTGGATCATTGTCACAGCTGGCTTCTTGAGCTCGGCTCACTTGTTCTTTCTGCTCAGGATATTTCAGGAGTTTCCTTCCCTTTTATGGTCTGCTGTTCATTTCTCCTGGCCGTACAGGAAAGAACAGTTTGTTGAAGACAGAAAGCTCCGCGGTCCTGACCTGTTCCCCTTGCACTGTGGAGGTCCCTGGCCATCAGCTCTTTTCCCTGAGCCTCTCGATTCCTCAGTGGATGGAAAGACATGCTGGGATCCTGCTGCAGAAGTTCAAAGGGCCTGGCTGCCTGTGGGCAAAGGGCAGCAGGATTCCTGAGTTAGCCCCTGGTCTCAGTGTGCACTATAGCCTCGGGGAAAGATTCTGTGCAAAATATTTGTTTCTTACCTTCATTCTGGATGGTTTGTGTGTAATTTTAGTTTATAGTACGTTAAAGGAGAGATCCAGCTGGGTCAGTGGATAATGATGTAATTTACAGGGGCCCTAGACAAAATGTTGAAATTGCTTATGTTTTCTTACTGCCCTAAATTGTATTACTGTGAAGTGTTTCCCTCTTTCAAAGGCAGTGAAAATAAGGATTGACACGAGGAGGCTTTTTAAAAAGGCACATAGTCACTTCCGTGTATGGCTAATGTTGAGCCAGTAAACTAGTGTAAAGTGGTGGACTGCTCACTGGGTATCCTTGAGAGGGCTTCGATGCAGTGGAAAAAGACATGGCACTGGATTCTCAGAAGCAGATTCGGATAGAATCTCCTTGTAAAGAATGTGCCTGAAGAAGCCTCAAGAAATGCTACCTGCGCCTGGCTGCAGGGAACACCCTGGCCCGCCGGCCCCACCTCTATCTGCAGACGGCAGCCAGCCAGTGCTGGACCAGCCTCTTCTAGTAGTGTCTGTGGATTGGGAGTTTTCTGGCAAATTCCTGCAGGTAAACCTTTGTAAAGTGAATCTTTTAAAAGAATGGCACGTACGTGTAGCTTTAGTTTCAGTACACAGTGCAAACCTACAGTGCTCTCACGGACATGCTGCAGGAACAACCCACCTCGAGGGCGTCCTGCTCGCTCCAGCCCTGAAACCACAGAAGCACTTAAGAGAGCAGCGTCTTCCCCTTCCCATGCTTGTTACAGTCAGCAGCATTGAGCCAAGGCGACCATTACAGGGACATTAAGGGGTCGTGGCTTTTAAGGGAAACTTCACTGATAGCATGCTGCAGGGAGGGGCACCGGCAGTCTGGACGGTGTACAAGTGCCGAATTTCCCAGTTCCTGTCTGCGTTTATGCTGTCTGCAAAATCCTGTTTGAAAGAGCGAAACACCTAACTGAAACATGAGCTTTCCCCCTAAAGTTGACGAACAGCCCTCCTAATTAAGAATGTGGTTCCATTCTTTAAAAAAGAATGAACTTAAACTACGGTGAAATTCAAAAGTGTCAGCAATGCTGGTATACTTCAGAGTAACTTTTTATAACATGATATAATAATAACATTTATAATACAACATAATATTTTTAATAATACTCTTTGTCATTGAACTAATGAGACTAAGCAATCCTACCAGTTTGTTGCTTACTGGATTTTCTCTTGTTTCTTAAGGTTCGCCATCGGTGGTGTGAACTCATTGTTAAGCACAAGTACACAAAAGCATATAAACACGTGGAGAGATTCCTGCAGGAGGATCAGGTCAGTTTCATTTTTCAGCAGGTGGAGATTCTATAAATGCTGTCCCCTGGCTGAAGGTGCAGTTCATACAGGGACCCAGGTTCTTGACATCTCTTTGATAACGAATATTTTAAATGTTTTTGAAAGACTAAGGACTAAGGATGATCTTACGTAACACTTGGACTTTTGAGCTGTTTTTCCATCTGTCTTAGTTCCCTTTTGTAGTAGTCCATTTTTGTTGCTTATAACAAAATACCTGGAACTGGGTGACTTAGAAGAAAATGAAATTTATTGCTTACAGTTTCAGAGGCTCAGAAGTGCAAAATCCAGGGAGCACAGCTGGTGAGGGTCTTGGTGACGCAGGGTATCACATTGTGAAAGTGGTGGAGCAGAGGGAGAGAGAGACGGACTCTCCTCTTCTTTAAAAGCCCTCAGAACCACACCCCTGACCACCGTTTTTAATCCATTCACTACTGCACAGTCCTACAATCCAATCACCTCTTTAAGGCCCCACCTTTCAACTACCATAATAGGATTTCTCACCCTCTTAACAGTCACAGTGGGGGCCAAGTTTCTAATATGTAAAACTTGGGGGATACAAGTCAAGCTTCTTGAGTTTTGGGGGGACATAATTCAATCCACTACACCTTTAAAGCACTGAGTTACGAATCTTAAAAGTGCCCTTGGTTCCACAACTGGCTGTGGACACAGCATCATCAAATGAAGCTGCTCAGGCTTCACAGAGTCTCCAGAATCCCTCAGGCCAAGCTTGTGGCTTAGTGTAGTGCCCTGTTATCTGTCCCTGTTTCCAGTGGCCCTAACTTGGAGGACATGTGAAGGTTAGACCGGGGGAGCCCCGGCTGGCTGGAGCAGTCTCATGCTGTATCTGCACCTGCCATGCCAGGCCGATCCCTGAGCTGCGTTTCTTTCCTGCCAGAACTTTCCTCACTATTCACCAGGAAAGGCAGCCACCTTCCTAGGATCCCACAGGAAGTGTGTGTGTGTGTGTGTGTGTGTGTGTGTGAGAGAGAGAGAGAGAGAGAGAGAGAGACTGGCTGTATTTGGAGACATCCCTGTTGGCCGTCTCTGATGTTTATAGTACACGTGACATGTCGTGCCCTCCTGTACGCCTGCCTGCCTCCCCACCAGAGTGTGCCTCTGAACACACTGTCTGCCCAGCACTGTGGGGTGGAGGCGGGGTGGGACAGACAAAGGGACTTTTGATGGGTTCTCAATATGGGGGCAGCCAACCAGTGAGGGCTCCTTATTCCCACAAAGAAAAGCGCATGACTTTGTACCAGAAGAAATGTCACATTTGCACAGTAGAGTAAGAGGTGTTTGGAAGAAGATGGGAGTATAAAAAGGAAAAAGTGTAAGAGCAACTTGAGGTCTGTTCTGAAGACCAGAATTCATCGCTGTGTGTTTAGAACCATGATCTTTGCCAAGGAAGCATCACTGCATCTCAGCTTTGTTGGGAAGGCACTTTTGAACCCCTAACTACTGAGTTTTATCCTGTGCTGTCTTTGAGATTCTTCTTTTAATTAGCTCCAGCAGAGTGTAATCTGTGGCATAACTAAGCTCGGAACAAGAGAGCAAGCAGAACCAAAGGGACCCTTTGGTCTTCCAGAACATAAGGGTCTGTTTTAAAAATGTAGGGGAAGTGTGAGTGTGAGTGTTAGCAGCATTGTTCTCAAAACAGAAGGCCAGTGTCTGCTGCAGTTGTGGGCTGGCTAGGGGAGAGTGACAGGCTGGGCTGAAGGGACAGGTGGCCTCCAGGGTGGCATGGCGAGCCTCCTGCCTGCGCTGCTGCGTGCCGTGGTCATTCCTCAGTGGACGATGGACTTATTTAATGAGCTCGTCCACCTGCTCCTCAGACACTTCTTCCCGGGAAGGAGTTCCATGTGTGGCAGCAGCCGCTCATGTCTTCCATAGTGGTCATTATGGGAACTCTCTGTCTCTGTGCAGAGCATTCCTGACACAGCACTGTGGGAATGAAAGCTCGTCATCACTGCCCCAGTGAAGTCACCAGAGTCTGGTGAAAGAATTGATTGCTAAAAATTCCTTGAGTTTTGATAAGAACAAAGAGGACACAGGAATAGAAATCTGCAGATTCCAGAAGTACAGCTACCCAACTATCCATATTCTTTCTAGAGTCTTTGTAATTTCTAGACCAGCAAGCTTACGTGAAGTAAGCCCAGACAGTGTGCATGCGTGTAACTCCTTTTCTAATGCTCTCTGGCCTCTGCCCTACAGGCCATGGGCACATACCTCTATGGGGAGCTGATGGTGGGTGAGGACCGCAGACAGCAGCAGCTTGCCCGAAGATGCTTTGAGCTTGTGAAGGAGCAGATGGACAGAACCTCAGCTGAGGTGGTGGCCGAGATGCTATTTTAAAGAGGTGATTCTCTCCCTTTACTTTCTTTATTGTTTGGTTCTAACCAGGTATTCCTTTTGGGAGGTAAATAAATCAATAAGCCAAATGGTGGGCCCAGGCCACCCACAAGGGTCTGCTCCCCCTTCGTTGGCCAGGTGGCTTTGGAGAGCGGGCAGTGGAGTGCCTAGGGCGGTGTGAGGCCGGGGCCCGGGGCGCCTCATCTGGCTGGAGTGTGTTGGAAGGCAGAGGCTGTCCACTTAAAGGCACAAGGGCTCTAGCCACATTGGGTTTGTAGTTTACAGGAACGACGGCTGTAGAGAGCATCATGAGCAGGTTTGGAGGTGCAATGGGAAGCCCAGTGGGAGCACAGATCCACGGTCCTCAAGGTCGGGCTGTGGCAGGAGTGGGACTCTGAATCCCAGCTTCTGCACTCACAAGTTTCCTCCCCTGGTTCATGCACGCACCGGCACTTCCTCGGGTTGTCGTGCCCGACCCTCGAGGCTGGCAGGAGGTCCCCCCAGCCACGTGCACCACAGGCTTGCTCTGTGACCATGTGTCCTGACGACAGGCCTTATCTTTCAACCCACTGTGTTGGGGCAGAGTTTCTCCCTGTCTTATATGAGACTCGAGAGCCTTAGATTATTTAAATTGCTTCCTCTGTTAATTGTACCTGGAATTGACCTGTGATATTTACTTCCCAGCAGTTAAGTTTTAAATGTGGGTTTCTACACTGTTAAAGTAATTTAGCAGTGATACATAAAGTTTTACAAGTAGAACTGTAGGAATTATAAATGTATTTTTTTCTCTAACAATCATAATTTCTGTCTTCTCAGTTTTTCTTCAAGGTTTTACATGAGATAATAGAGTATGTCTAATTTTGCAACCTTTTTTTTAAACAGTATATCTCAAGCACTTTCCATGTTGTTATATCGCTTCTCTATAAATATAATGTTTAATGGATATTTAATATTTTGTGTTGATATTGGTAACCCATTGTTGGACATTTAGTTTGCTTCTAATGTTTTGCTGTTATAAAAACCATTTATGCCTAATATGTTTAAAGGATCTTATTTATTTGAAAGAATTCTGATACTGAAGAGGAGTTTTCTGCAGTGTGGCCACATTCTTGCAGCAGCAGGTCGCGGAAGAAGGGTGTCTTGTGCTGCAGCAGCAGATGCCCCAGGCGCCTGCTGTCCCCTCCTGATACTGAAGAGGAGTTTTCTGCAGTGTGGCCACATTCTTGCAGCAGCAGGTCGCGGAAGGAGGGTGTCTTGTGCTGCAGCAGCAGATGCCCCAGGCGCCTGCTGTCCCCTAAGGTGGCTGCACACTGGCTGGGGCAAAAAGGGCAGCAGTCGCCCGTTGTCCCGCAGCCAGCCTCATACAGTAGTCGGTATAAATCACGTTTCCCTTTAGATTTCTAATTTCATGGGGAATTTGTGTGATTTGAAGTGTGTGAACTCTAAGCCCACCGTGCATTCTCCTGTCCCCTTTGTTCTAAATCCTGGAGAACCACAGCGGGTCTCACGGCTGTCACGACTCTTCACTGTCATCTTTTTGCCATTTCCTTGCCTCCCCTCTGCCATCTTCGTCCTGTCCCTTTCGTCCTAGACGAATGCTGGGGCCGCGAGCACCCCTCCCCGCCAGGACTGAACAGTGAGGGCTGCTCCTGTCCCAGCTTCCAGCAGGGAGACCCTTCCCAACTGAGAGAGGCCCCTACAGAGTGCCAGACCATTCAGTGTCCATCCATGGTGGGAGACATCTTGTCCTAAGGGTTAAGGGCAGTAACTACAAGCAAGAACCGCCTTCTTGGAGAACCTGCCACGTGGCTGGTCAGTGCGCTTTCATCTCGTGTTAGTTACAAAGCTGCACTGACATTTTATGGTTGCCTGTGAGTCCTTTTGATTTCAAAAATCACACTTTTACAATGTCAACTAAACGCACAACAAGGTCAACCCCTTGCTAGTATAGCAGGCACGGAGACCGTGTCATCGCCGTGGAAGCTGGTGCCTGTGGACAGGTGCGTGGGGCACAGTGCTGCGCTCCAGTGCTCTGGCTGCTTGGGTTCCTGGCATGCTGATTTGTGACTTAAGATTAAAATCACATTGCCAGGGATTACCACGCAACCACGACCTTGGCTGCTCCTCCAGAAACCATAGTTGCTCTCTCCCTGCAGTTCGGAGAACAGAGGCATCTTGTAGCTCTTCTTTGGAAACAAAAGAAGCCAACAGCCACAGAAGATGCTCACCGGCCCATTCGTTACGCCCACGACCTTGGCTGCTCCTCCAGAAACCATAGTTGCTCTCTCCCTGCAGTTCGGAGAACAGACGCATCTTGTAGCTCTTCTTTGGAAACAAAAGAAGCCAACAGCCACAGAAGATGCTCACCGGCCCATTCGTTACGCCCCGCGACGGCCTCTCTGGCGCGGTGCAGAGCTTAGCTGATTGGTGAACAGTGACTGGTTTCCGCTTTGTTCACAGTGGCTAAGTTCTGCACCCGAAGAGAAGGTGAGATGGGCAGAGCTGGGTGCGAGTGCAGCGCTGCAGGAGCCCGGACGCGCCTCCTGTGCAGAGCGCCGGCACGCAGCCGCCGTCCTCCAGGCGGGCCACAGACACGCATGCTCCCTAGTCAGGCAGCTGCCTGAAAGGGCAGATGTATGGACGGGGGCAAAAACTTCCTACAGCAAACGCCTCGCAGAAGTCGCGTGGAACCTGTGGTGGCTGGTTGCGCGGGAGGAGGGTGCGTCCTTGCTGTCTGTCCCGAGCGCGGTGAACTGTCTCTTGTGTTTGCAGCGCAGGTCTGTGTCTTCTGCGGCACCAGCGCCCTGCTGAGGAAGTGTCTCCGGCTGTCGATTGGACCCGCCCTCCGGTGCCTACTGAGCTGATATCAGTTCTCATTTTACACACTGGCTCAGTTCAGCAGGAACAGGAGTCGAGCCCTTGAGCAAAGCCTTCCCGTTTGTAAGTGCCGAGGCTCCCTCCAAGACACCTGCGGTCCGGCAGCAGGCCCGGCAGCCGTGTCCACCTGTGTGCGCTCCTGCGACCGGAGCCCATCCACATGGAGGGCAGCGCCCCCTCTCACAGGCAGGCTGCGGTGTGTGCCCCACGCATGTGTGACCGAGGCAGGGCCCACTTCTCACATGCGGAGAGTTTAGACTTTCCAAAAGCCAGGAGAGCAAAGCTGCTGTGAAGCGGGCTCCCTTTCCAGTGTCTGTCTTGTCGGTGGCACCTAAGGTGTGGCGGGCTGAGTTTCTTGGCCATGTGCAAGCCAAGTGAATGGCACAGGCTCAGCTGGGAAGCCCGCTCCTGGGGTTGCAAGGTGGGGCCCGGGTCTCACCCTGTCCTCTGATGGAAGTCCTCTCTCCAAAGCGGAAAGCAAAGGCGCACAAAGGCGCTCATTTACAAGAATTCCTACGTTGTGGCCAGGCAGTAAATTTTATTGCTGTTTCCTTTGCAGGAAAGATCAGGAGAGCTTGTCTTTCATATGTCTCCTCCTAGCCCTGGTGGGACCAAGGATCACAGTGACCCTGGACATCAAAGGAAGGATTGTGTGGCTGCTAAAGCCATCAGCCAGCAGCAGTGTTCTCGCCTCGGTGCTTCTCTTTCCCAGAGGCTGGTCTCAGCCAGGCACATAAAAAGGCAAATGCTCATAAACACAGCCTCCCTCACGGGGCTGCGCGGCTGCCTTTGTCCCCACCCTGGCTGTGCCGCCTTCCGATACCAGATGAGTCAGAGCTCTTCTGTGACTGCAAGGCAGTTCTTCCACACAAGTGACAAGAGGTACCTCAGGCACGTTGAAAAACCAGCTGGAGACGTGAGCATGTGGCTGCACATGGATATTTCTGTAATTCCAGAAAGTCACATAGCTTCTGTAGACTGGGACAGGTGAACGCCATGTGATGTCCTCCTCTGGGTCATTTTCAAAACATTCTGCAGAATTATTTTGATTGATATGTCCAATATTCAGATTTCTCCAAAATTTTAGTACCTGTTTGTAAAAGTGTGTGGCATAAGAATATTAATAATAAAATGTAATGGATTTGGTTTTTTGTATTCCTGTTTGCTTCTGAATTTGGTATTTTTTGAAAATTATGATAAAAGAAAACACGTATAAGGGATTTTTCACACTCTGGTATTCTTTCCCACCTCACTGGTTTCTTTGTAGTTTTCAAGGTACTGTTGATATTCTTAGAACCTGAAATAGAAGTGATTCCTTGGAAGTAAAAGGCACAGCTCAGTCTGCATGTGGGACACTCTGTCTTCTAAAATGTACAGTCTCAGGCACCAGTAGAGTCTGGTGAGGTCATTTCCTCCCACAACTGGTTTGAAGGTTGGTTTGGTTTTTTTAAAGCTGGAAACTAAGCTTCGGGGTTACCGTTCAGGGGAAGGGTGGTGTAGACACCCGGAGAAGGGCCGTGGGCGGTGCAGTCCGCCTGCCTGCGGGGGAGCCTTGGGGCTGTCTGCACCGGGAGCGTGCCCTCCAGAGGCCCTAGGGACCTGCTGTGTTGGTGGAAGAGTCCACGTGTGGTTGGTAGATTTGGAGTCTAAAGAAACGCAGCCCTCGGGAAGACTGAGTGTGAACGACGCCTTCTCCCCGGCTCTTGTGAGCAGGTCTGGCTCGCTATGTGGTGGAGCAGGCCCTGGAGCCCAGGCCGTCACTGCACCCAGGCCTCCGCTGTGTGGACACGCTGGGCACCTTGGGAGCTGCGGGCCGCTCAGGCCCAGTGGTTTGATTGGGTTTTGTTTTTCCAGAAAGTTAAAGCTGTGCTCTGTCTCTAGAAAACACTAGGGCAGAGCCAAGCTGCTGAGCAGCTGGGATTTTGCACAAAAGCCACCAGTGACCTTGCTCGTGGGGCTCCCAGAGGCTGTCTTCTGCTCTGATCGCCCGGGCCCTGGCTGCAGGCAGCATTACCATGGCGGGGGCTCAGCGGAACTGGGCACCCAGCTCACAGCTTTGGCCCGGAGCCTGTGGGTAGTGTTGGCCTTCAGGCACAGGAGCACCCTGCCTAGGCTAGGTGGTGTCCCCAGGTCGGGGAAGCCAAGGTGGCCTAGGGCGCCAGGTCTGGGCAGCAGGCTCTCTGCAGCAACCCCGCTTCCCCGAAGTCCTGCTGCTCGGGCTTCCCTGGCTTCTCCTTCCTCCCTTGTCTCCTCTGCCAGCATCTCCTGAGAGAAGCTTTAGAGAGCCTGTGGCCGGGGCCTGGCAGAGAGGCCTCTAGATTCCAGAAGAGTGGCCAGTCAGGCTCTCTTGGGGTTAATAAGGAGATAGATAAGACCAGCACTTTCTATCTCTAAAAATTCATCTGACTTAAAAGAAAGAAGCAAACAAAATCACATTGGTAAGTAGCTTTGTGGAAGGCGGGTGAGTGATAGGATTTGAGCTAGAAAGCACATGTCCCAGCAAGTTGCTTTATCAACATGATTGTGACACCCTCGGAGGGACATGTTGGTTGGAGCAGGAGTGTTTGCGGAAGACACAGTGATCCTGGGTGTGCCCAGGAACCCGAGAGCCTGCTGCAGATCGCGCCTGGGCAGATGTAACTAAGTGACAGGCAGGATTTGAACATGGGTCCACGTGGCTCGGGGTTTTCTCCACACCACAGTACTTCTCAGGGCGTGGACCACTGGTTTAGTAACAAACATGCACCGAGGCCTCAGTTTCCCAGTGCTCCTCGGAGACACCTGTCTTGTCACTTAGCTGACATTCAAGAAGGCTGTGTGGGTATTCTCTCCTCCTGATACAATCTGATGGAAGGGTGGACCTGTGCGACGGGGGGGTAGATGTGAGGCTGTGTCCATGGGGGGCGGCTGAGTTCTCTCCTTGCCAGGTGCCTAGAGTCAGGGGCCCTTTGGAAGGGCAGCTGCAGCCCACCAGCAGCATGGCGCTACCCACCTGTCCCCTGGGCAGCCAGTCAGGCATAGAACTGTCAGTGTTTTAACTGCTGGGTTTGCCAGGTTTGCTTTAAAAAGTGAGAACAAGCAGTCTTGTTCTTTGAGCAAGGTGATGGGTTAATTGCCAAGCAAGGTCCTCCTCTGGGAGAACAAAGGACTGGGCCTGCGCCTTTCCCTTCCCCTGTGGCCTGTGGTATGGAGCCCCCTCCCTCCCCTTGCGGGCACCCAGCTTCAGAACAGCAGAGCAGCCTAGACCAGGCCTTTCTTCTCCCAGGCCCAGAGGCCACGGCTGCTTCCAGCATGTGTAGAAATAGGATCCTGCCCAACTCACCTTTGGAGAGGTGAGGTGGCCGGGGTCCCTCCCACGGGAGGAGGAAATGGCAGGGACCCCACCCCCACAGGCCAGCCCCAGCCCCACAGCACCCTGGTTTGCTGAGGGGCTGAGGCTAGGGCAGGAGCAGGTGCAGGAACCTCAGAAGTTGTCCCGCCCCTGGCTGCGGGGCTCTGGGCAGCAGCAGGGCAGGAGCAGCCCTGGAATTCTGGCAGGAAGGCGGGTGGGGAGGGGGTGGGGAAGAAACAGAAGAACTCAGTCTCTTTAAGATTAAAGGATTTTAAAGCATTTATTTTTATTGGAATTTCAAAACAAAACATTGAAATAATCGTCTACATCCCAAGCAAGATAAGCCTTGCTTGCGGTACAGAGGTGTCTCAGAGTGCCCCAAGTATAAACAACACACTTAAAGTGTCCCTGTACGATGCCAGGAAAAGCCCTAGGAGGACGTGTTCCAGGCACACTCCAGTTCGCTCTCCCGACCTTCTCTATTCAGCCTGGACACCCGGCAGAGCCCTGGCAGAGAGGGAGGGAGGCTGTGCAGGGCCCTCTACTTGCACACAGCCAGTGGCTGCCCCTACAGTTGGCCCCACCAAAGGCCACTAACCCACCGACCAACTGAAAGCAAAGCTGAGTGATGTATTTTCAAGGGACATTGTGTTTAGAGTGGCCTGCACTAGGCCAACTACCTCATCCAACTGACGGAGCCAGCCAGGCTGGAGGACCTGGACGGGTGGTCAGTGGTGAGTGGGTGCTGTGATGGAGCAAGGCGTCTGCCCAGCGCGTCTCCTTCCAAACAGAACTCTGGGTGCCCAGGCCCCTGGCCTCAGCCGGCCGGCCTCCCTGGAACAGTGGGGTCCATCACATCCCATTCCCAAAAAGGAGGAGAGGGTGCTGTCCCTAGTACTTTGCCAGCAGCTGACATTAACATGCACCACCTCTGGTGAGATGGTCCCCTGGAGGGCTCCCTCCCCAGGCCCAGCCACAGCACGGACTCCATACAGGGGTACAAAACTGGTGAAACTCAAGCCTAAAGCTCCCAGAGCCTCCTCAGCCCAAGACACCTGAGAGGCAGGGGCCTGCGGGTTGAGAGGGCGGCCTGGACCTCCCCGAACAGCTTCCAGAGGCCAAGCCCAGGGAGGGGGCATGAACTCTTCACCCCCTGCAGTGGTCCCTTGCAGACAATAACCTCAGCCCTCCCTGCCTGGACGCTGGAGGTTTACAAGGTGGAAGGGTGGAGAGCTGGGTAGGAGTATTGAAGGGAAGGTTTTATGGCTCTTTTCCCACCCTTTGCTGCTGTCTGGGAGATTGATCGGCTAATAAGGCATTTCTGTTCCAGTCTGATGGCCAGACAGTGAGAAAAGGAGGCCCTCAGCCGAGCCTGGGGTGTAAGGCAGCTTCCATAAAACTACAGGCGCTCCCAGGACCAGCACGGGCTCTGCGCCTCCGCCTGGCATCCCAGCAGAGGCAACCGGGCCACGTGGGAGGCCCAGCCAGGGGAGCCCACGCCTGAGGTCCAGGCCTGGGAAAGGGGGCACCATACCCTTGTTCTCAAGTAGGCTCCAAAGAGAAAAGAGAGTGGGAGACACGGTCACAGGTGTGGCCTCTCAGAGGTGGGGATGGCACCAGAAACCCATGCACATGGTGGGGGGATGTGACCGTGTGTGCCTTGCATGTTTGTGGGGGTGGGGGGGAACGTAAGGCTGAATACAGAAATGCAAAGACGTCTCTGACCATACGTGTCCATCGACTCGACAGCCCACACAAAACAGATCTGGTCACCACAGAGTGTTGTTGGAGGTAAAACAAGTTCCAGGGTTTGGTGTCTCAACTGTTGCCAAGGACTGCAAGGGGAAAGGCACTGGAACGAACTGCTCCAAGACCGTGACCCCGCTCACCCCCTGCCTGGGCCACCAGCGTCTGCCCACCTGCCTCCCAACCTTGCGGCCCCTGTTGGGCAGGCCCAGGTGGGCTTGGGGGCTCCCGGAGCCTGGCTGGCCACGTGTCCCCTGGCAGGCTGCCCACCTGGGACATGAGAGCCCAGGCCCAGGTTCTGCCCGGGGCCACGGGGGAAGAGTGAAGCTGTCTTCCCAGACAGCTCATCTGTGGCTTTGTCTGGGACACAGGCAACTGGGTGTGTGCCTGTGGTTTCTATTTTCTTAAACCTTCTTTGTGCCCCTTCTGCCTGTGATTTCTCTCAACCTGGGCTTTGTTGGTTGGCCAGTTTAAAGCTCAGCCCAGGTGTTCTTGCCCGCGGGGTGGTGGTAGGTGCTGAAATGCCCCTGCCGGGCCCCTGGCCAGGCCCTCGCTGCGCTGCCAGACCCCAAGTTCCAGAAACCTCTTCCACCTGCTAGTGCTCCCAAGTCCCACGAGGTCTGGCCAGACAGGCTTCTGGAAGAGGCACGTGTCCTACAGGCTGGGTTGCACATGCATAGCAAGCTCTGAAAGGAGTCACGGAAGCCCTCTCCAGCTACGACAGACACCCCAGTGCCTCGGGGTCTCCACACTGTGACTATGACTTGTCTCCGACGACTTGAACAGCAGTTACATTTAAGGAGGGAGGCTCAAGAAAAAAGTGAATTGGGAGATAAATCAGATTAAATAGGAGTCAGTTTTAGTGTTTGCCAGTGGAATGGAACAAGTGGGCATTGTGTAGGATTATAAAGAAAACATAATTTAAGGAATTGTATTTTTATGATTTTATTTGCTTCAATAAATTATATGTGGAGGAAAAAATAATAGCAGAAATGGCGGTTTTGGCGCACCCGGAGGCAGAGGAGGTCGTTTCGTAGGAAGGTGAGCAGAGGCTGGGCAGATGGGGACAGACAGATGG